TGTTTTTGTTTTTTTTGTTTTATTTATTTATTTATTTATTTTTTGTTGTTGTTGTTTTGATTTTTTGAGACAGGATTTCTCTGTGTAGTTTTGGTTCCTGTCCTGGATCTCGCTCTGTAGACCAGGCTGGCCTCGAACTCACAGAGATCTGCCTGGCTCTGCCTACTGAGTGCTGGGATTAAAGGCACGTGCCACTGCTGCCCAGTTTTTTTTTTTTTCAATATTACATTTTGTGTGTGTGCATGTGTGTGCAGACACACTTGCCTGAATGTGTATGGGTGTGTGGAGATCAGTAGACAGTTTGTGGGAATCAGGTCTGTTCTTTCCTTTTGCCATCTGAGTCCCAGGGATGGGCATCACATTTGCCAGCAAGCACCTTTACCTGATGAATCACTGTGGGCCTTACCCTTGTTCTTTAGGGGTTGAAAACGTCTGTGAAAGGTTTGTGGAACAGTCGGTTTTGGCTCTTTCAGGAGCTTGCATATGAACTGTAGCTTTATGTTACTCAGGAAAATCACTTATCTTTTTACTTTACTTTCTGCATTTTGTGAGTGTGATGCTTGTGAAGGAAGCCTTTTGTCTCTTGTCTGGTTCCCAATTACACCTTCCACTTCCTGCCACAGCAGTACACTTGTTCCCAACAGCAGTCAAGGATCCTAAAATTAACCAAATGCTTCGAGTGTTACCAGTTAGATAGGAAAGCTGCTGATTTTTTTTTTTTAACTATGGGAACAGTATAAAAGGAGAAACCCAAGTTGTATTAAAGCCATACAGCCTCTACCCAACTTCTCTCTTCTCATTTGTTTTTCTTAAATTGTTTTAGATCTCCTATAAGTATGATTTGACTGTAAACTGATGTAGACTTTGGTACATCTTGCAATGCTAATTCTATATGGCAAACTGCACTCTGAGCAAGCACTTAGTAATATATAGGAAATAAGTAAATAACCTGTGCATACAAGGAACGCTCCACCTTGAAATGCTTGGGTTCTGATATCTGCCCCTAGTGTGCTCACCCTCTATTGGATTGCAGAGGCACAGCCCCGCCCCACCCCCATAGTATCCACCACTTCCCTAGCATCCACCACTCCCCATATCCCCTGTTTCATTGGGAAGAGAGGGACTAAGAACTGGTTCTGCTGCTGGAAACGTCTGCCTTCCCAACACCACCATCTTCCTCAACAATTCAGGCACAGAGACCATGTGTCATAAGAAGGGAATAATTAATAAATTAGTAAAGTTTAAAGCCACACATTGCCTTTTAGGTATTTTCCTTCTGGTCTGATTGTGAAGGGAACTTGGCTTCCTACCAGTCTTAGGAGAAGGGAAAGCTTTGAGACTAAGAAAGAAAAGTGTCTCCCGATAATAGGATAATTAGAGAAAAATAAAGATGTATGAAGCCGGGCGGTGGTGGCGCACGCCTTTAATCCCAGCACTCGGGAGGCAGAGGCAGGTGGATCTCTGTGAGTTCGAGGCCAGCCTGGGCTACCAAGTGAGTTCCAGGAATGGCGCAAAGCTACACAGCGAAACCCTGTCTCGAAAAACCAAAAAAAAAAAAAGAAAAAAAAAAAAAAGATGTATGAGCTTGCTATCAAGTTTGAACATTAAGATGTATTTTGATATCATGTATGGATACTACTAATATCTGCTAAAACTAAAGCTTCAGGAGCTGAGAATATATGCTCAGCACGGGCAAGGTCCTTGCCTCCCTCTTGGGTACTAAACACAAAGGCCAGATGTGGTGGTATATGCCTGGAATCCCATCATTCTAGAGGCATAGAAGGGTGAATCAGTGCAAGTTTAGACCAGCCTGGTGTGCAAGGGGAGTTCCAGGCCAGCCAGAGATACATAGTAAGATGGTCTCAAATACAAAGTAAGGCTTTCATGATTGGCTTTATGTCTACAGTTGTTGAATGTTTGATGATGAGTTTGGGGTTTTTGTTTGTTTGTTTGTTTACTATTCTTTCTATCTTTGGTGTATTTAACACAGACAGCTGCTTTAGAGTGATTACTTCCTCTTAAAGGCAGCCCCCTAAAAGGGGCTTTATAAATAAATTTACCAGTATTATTCAAAACTGGCCGAAGTTCGATAACGTTAACAACACATTTCAAACCTGTACACAAATCCAATGGCTCACACTTTGGTTGAGCTTGGAAGAGACATAGATAGGCTCATAAAGTTTCGTAAGTACCATTTGAAAATAAACATCGAATTATTTCAGTTTGAGATGCTAGTACTTAAGCCGAGTCCGTGGTTCTTTGGCTGTTAGGTTTTTGTCCATTTTGTAAAACCTAGTTATTTTTACTTTCGTGTTGTTTGGTCCCAGAGAACTAGATGGAAAATCAGGTGTGAACTCATCCCTGGAATGAGCTACTTATTTATTTCCTGTGTCTCTTGGTTTTTTTTGTTTGTTTGTTTGTTTGTTTTTGTTTTTTGGCTAAGGGAGAAGAAACCCAGAAACTACACTTAATATTTTTAAAAGCACTTTGAAAAAGATCCATGTTGAAAGATTTCTAATGTATCGTCTAGAACTCCGTTATAACGAAGAGTGCCGTCTTTGCTAAGAACAAATACAGAACAAAGACTATAAATAAACGACTTGTTCTGAAAAGCCTGGGCCATAGTGTCACCTCTGTGAAATTCCTCACATAAGGCATGCCATCTCTCATTTCCTCCGCTGGCCTGGACTCATGATGATACAGGCTTGGAACTCCTGTGTCCACTGAATGCGCTACAGCACAAAGATATGCACAGCCTTCCTTAGGGTACCATTTTCGTGGTCTGAAAGCAGTACAAGAAAGGTTCTGAAATTGAAGTGGGGTCTGAATGTATTTGTTCCCATGAATCCTGGGTGATTGATGTGACAGTGGAGTGCTTTGTGACTTTTTTGGGGTTGGTTTGCTTAGATTACAATCAAATAAGGTGACTCTGGGCGGGGCAGGAGGAGGGACATGCACTATCAGGAAGATGTGAAGTGGTTTTACTACTCAAATAAAATTAAATTCTAGGAAATAAAATCCTTAAAGGGGCTGATTGTAGAGAAGAGGGAAGACAATGCCTTATCATTAAAAATCAATCAGATATTTACTAAGTGCCTCTCTGAGGATTCCTTACGTTTCAGTGGTTGGCGGTTCTTGGATTACACAATACTTTCACATGCATTATCTTATTTGATCTTCCCAACTGGCAGGGAGGCCAGAGAGGGATCTAAAGACAAGGAAATTGCATCTCAGACTTAAGTGCTCCTGAAGACCTCCTCAGAGCCGGAGCAGGGTGTGTGAGCATGGGGTACCTCCAAACACTCTGTCCTCTGTCCCTCTGACCTCCACTAAGTACTGTGACATATTGTCTGTACAAAGGAGTCCAAAGGAGTAAGATTACGATCTGGACCCTCAAGGAGTTTATGGTCAGTTGGGAAAATAAAAGTTTGCCAATGAAACAAGCAAAAGACTTTTGTTAATCAGGATAACACAGGTTGTAAACACAACAATTGGGTTATTTTAGTTGGAACGTAAAGTACAATCAGTTCTACCCTGTGCCCTGAAAATGAAAGCGAATCAAATGGATATTTCTAACATTTTCCAGCCAGACCATCAGTGTCTTTGGGAGAAGTTCCTCACTGGGAGGAAAGCCAGCGGGCACAGTCTGGTCCAGGTACATGGGGGCACATGGATATTTGGAGTCCTGGAGTTCTTACTTCCCTCTGCTGTGCTTTGTACTCAGGACTAGGAGCCTGTGGGAGGCCATCCTGGCCGCTGCTCGGCCCTTTAAACCATTAGAGAGGGTCTAGTTTTAGGGAGAGGACACCCTGCAGGGATGTCCAACCTCTTGACATCGTAACACGATGGTGTCATCTACAAATGTTGTAGGCCACATCCTTAGCTCTCTCGGATGCATACAGCCTATAGGACACAGGTTGAACCCGTCTGAGAAGCCAAGTATGGACTTGTTTGTGTTGAAAGGGACTGTGGACGTCAAGGGTCTGCAGAAACTGGTCATTTTCATTTTCTCATGTCCCAGTGCTCAGACCTAGCATTTTCCAAGCTCGTATTTGTCTCAGAAGCAGAATTCCATTCCAAGTATCTGTTCTTTGTCTTTTCCGCAGAGCAGGCCTGGGCTGAGACGGCTGTAGTCCAGTCACCGTGTGTCCCTGCCTTTGTCTGGCTCACTGAGAGAGGTACACTGCCTGGGAGGCCCCATGGGGACTGCCAAAGCTTCAGTGAGCAGCTGGCCATTGTTTTTTCACAAAAAGTGCCCGTGCCCAGCCAGGTTCAGCAGCTGCCTCATAGACAGTTCCAAGTAATCGTCTTCCAGATGCTGATTGGTAAAGTGTCCTTTGGCCGGCATAGGGGTTCTACCGCAAGGTTCTGCCTGCTGTCAGGGAGGTCTTAAACAGCCTCTGTGGGCCGGGAGGCACCATGCTGAGTAAACATCACAACAGAAAAACTTTTGGAGGTACCATCTGTACCACCACCTCTCCACGCTGAGCACTGAGTGCCCAGGTGAGTGCAAGCCTATTGATGATCAGGCCCAAGCACCCGGCCACGCCCACCGGATCACTCAGGTCCTCAGTTTCATCCCTTGTCTTCCTCCTTGAGGGCCGACATGGATTCATGCTGAGTCACTTCAGCTTTCCTTTCCTCTTGTGGTTGTAAACACAGCCTCCAGAAACAGCTCTCTCACACACTAGCTATGCACCCTTGGGAAAGTTACCAGAGAATTCTTGACGCCTTCCATTCCTGATATGTGGCACCATGGTAATATATACCAGCTATATACATGCTGACAGCTACCTCAAAAAGTTCCTGACCATGTTTGTCCCGATGGAGAGCTGAGGAGAAGGCCGGGATGTGTTCTGTGGTGCTTGTTCTTTCCGTGCGTTCATCTGCTGCCCTTTGGAAGTCTTGCTCTGGATACTGCCCGAGTGGGAAGGTAGATGCACTAGGTGCCCTCAGTGGGTGTATGGGATAAATCACTGCATAACTTGTTCATTCAACAGGTGGGAAGGACTCAGCACGTACTTCGGAACGTGTGCCTGCCTTGAGGAGAGCCTCGAGAATGTGGAAAATTTCAATCAAATGATGCTGTAGAACATTGCCGGCAGCACACAGTAAGTGCCTAGTGCCATAGAAGCGTTTTCGGCTTTAATTGTTAGGCTGGCAGAGTGAATGCTGAGACCAAGCGTGTGGCCGGAGGTTGAGGGCGAGGAGGTGGAGGTGCTCCTGGGGAAGTCTTCCAAGAGGCAGTATCCTTCAGCTCTAGTCTGATCAGTGAGTAGGCGTTTGCCAGTAAGAGAAGAGGGCTAAGAGTGTTCCAGGCAGAGGGAACATTGTGTGCAGAGTTAGGGAGGCGTGAAACAGCACAATCCACTCGGGGGAACTCCGAGCAGGCAAGGAACAAGTGGCGCCCCGTCCTTACCGAGACATGCAGCGTGCATTTGTTAAATGAGTATGCGAGGTTAGAGGCTGGGAAGTGAAACACTGCTTGATCGTTCTGCCCTGAAGCGTTGACCAAACACCCATCGAGGCTGAAGTGGCTAAGGGGCTTTTAATCTTTAATTGTCCCATGTAGTACTCGCCCAGTATAATCTCTGTACTGTGTCAACTCTCTTCTTGTCTTTCTTTCTTTCTTTCTTTCTTTCTTTCTTTCTTTCTTTCTTTCTTTCTTTCTTTCTTTCTTTCTTTCTTTCTTTCTTTCCTTATTTTAAAAATATATATAATTGAGACAGGGGTTTCATGTATCCCAGACTGGTCTCAAATCCCCTATGTAACCAAAGATAACCTTGACTTCTTGTCCTCCCAAGTGCTGAGATTACAGGCATGTGCTAGGCATGTCCAGTTTTATGTCGCGATGAGGCTCCAAGCTTGGGCTTTGTGCGCGCTAAGCAAGCATTCTATCCGCTGAGCCACATCCCAGCCCCTTCTTGTCTTCTGCGGTGAGTGAACTAGTTGTCGCCCTTTCCCCCCAGAGTGATGGAGTTGGAATACAATGAAGCCGCTAGGATCCCAGAATGGGTACTAATGCTTTTGTGGGTAACACATTTCTTCAGATAAAAGGTCAGCAAAACCTGGTCTAAGGACCAGACCCAGTGCCCTGCCTGGGGCTGGGTGACCCAGGATCCTGTCAGTTGGGACATTTCATCCCCGCTGCACACAGTCACTCATCCTCCCACGGGTTGGCTTACACTCAGCCGGCAGTGGCAGGTTCAAGAGAGAAAGTGGAAGGGCACACTTGAGGCTCAGCTTGGACTCGGCACAGTTACTTCTGCTACATTCCGGTAGCCGGCGAGAGGCAAAAGGCCAGCCTGGGTTGGAAGGGTCTGGAAATCACCCCCAGTTCTTGATTAGAGCTGCTGCAGACAGCAGGGAGACTGGAGGGACAGAATCAGGGCCGTGTTTGAAATCATAAGCAATCATAATCTAAAGCAGCATGCATTCCAACCAGGGATTTTTTTTTTAAAGTCATCTCTGTGGTCTCCAGTGGAAAGATGTATTCATCATACATGTCTATTCAGTCCCACCCACAGCTATGAATCATCAGTGTCTTCCACTGAGTCGACCATTATCCCCTAGCACATGACAGGTACAGAGGAGGAGTAAAATGAGACGTGTCGTATGAGACCCAGACCCACATTCGGATACCACCTGATGGATTTCACCAGGGAACCGGGCTCAATTTTAACCCATTAAAGGTATAAAGCAAACCATTATCACAGATGCACCCAGTGACTGAACTGAACAGCCTTTGGGACTAATGTCTAAACAGCCCTACACTAAATATTCTTGCTTCATCGTTCCATGCCCCACTACTGTTACAGGTGCTATTAAAATTGGCCACTGATGCATCTATATATAAATGTGACTGAACTGACAGCCGCGGCACAGCCGCTTTGCCCATCAGCTATTTGACGGCTCCCCCTATTAAGCTCTCTCTCTCTCTCTCTCTCTCTCTCTCTCTCTCTCTCTCTCTCTCTCTCTCTCTCTCTCTCTCTCTCTGTGTGTATGTACATGTTTGTGGGGTACATGTGCATTTGTGGGGGGATCAGAGGTAGACATCAAATATCTTTCACAACCGCTCCCCACCTTCTTTTTTGAGACAAAGTGTCTCAGAACTTGAAACTTACCAGTTTAGCTGGATGGGCCGGCCAGTGAGCTCCAGGCCCCCTCCCGTCTCTGCCTCGCCACCACTGAGATTGCAGATGCATGCCATCATGCCAGACTTTAAAAGGGTACTGGGCATCCAATCCCAGGTTCTGATACTCGCCACAGCAAGCATCCAACTGAGCCACCTTCCTAACTCATTTTCCTCTTCAGTTTTTCAAGACAGGGTATCATCACGTAGGCCCGTTAGCTTCAAACTTGTGGCAGGAGCTGCCATGAGATATTTTGTTTTTCAAGTTTATTGCCAGAAAATTTTCACTGTTACCAAACTTGTCTCAATAAATAATGCGTAGTATAAACAACAACAAGGATATCAAAAACCTCCCATAGCAGTCCTTTCCCTGATACCGGGGGATGTCAGAAGACAGAACTCATAGGTGGTACCTGTTTCCTAAGACTATCTTGAAAAGTGAAAAACAAAAACACAGCTTCCAAACAATTCAAACAAAAACCACACGGCTTAGGTTTGAAAATATTCTTTCTGTTCCGATGCCCCTCAGGGTCCTTGGGCATCTGCAGGATGCTGACGTCTTGACACTAACTTCCATGGAGTTGCTGCTGTTAGAGATCTGTAGGAGCAGCATCCGTGGGTGGAAGGAACATGCCAGATCTCAGGGAACTATTAGATGCCTGTTGACTCAGGCGGCAGGACCAGCTGTGAATGGGAATGTATTTTTACGTGGCTTCAGTGGAAAGGAACAGGGCTGTTATGTTAGTGCCAAGGTGGGGAAGGAACCTGCTGAGTTATTTGTGGATGATTTGGTTTATGGAGGATGGGAAGACAGGGCTGTCTTGGGAGGTACAGCTGAAGACTCTAAGCTCAGAAGTTAACTCTGGGCATAATGGCACATGCACTTGGGAGGTGGTGGAGGAGGAGGATCAGGAGTTCAAGGCCAGCCTGGGCAATGTGAGACACTGTCTCAAAAAAAGAAGAAAAAAAAAAAAAGATGTTTACTTGGGCAGGTCATATAAAGATGGAATGGTAAATCTACCAGGTAGTGTTTTCAAAATTAGACCCCAACAAATGTTTATTTCTTTCATGTTTCTGTATCTCCCACCCACCTTAGGAATGTCAAAAAAAAAAAAAAAAAAAAAAAAAAAAAAAAAAAAAAGTCCTGCCAGCCAGCTGCCCCTGGAAAGAAGTCAAGTAGGATAAACTTCCTGTTGAGGGTGAAGGCGCAGGGGCTGTCACTTCTGCCGCCCCTCCCTCCTCCCAGCTCCCAGGCTTCACTAAGATATCCCTTCCTGCCTTCAGAGGAAGCCTGTGTGTTCTCTCAGAGCTACCTTGGCATTCCTTGATGTCTTAGAGCAGCAGATGACCCCGGCTGAGCGAGACAGTCAGCAGAACAGCAGCTCTCGATGCTGCCTTTGGAAATTTCCATTCTTTGCTTGCAGCTCTGAAAAAAAAAAAAAAATCTAAAGAGCCCAGTAGCTGGGAAATTTCCACAATGGAAAATTTTAACATATTCTTTAGCTCTAAACTATGCAGGTTTATAGACATTATTTTTTTTTCCCTTCTGGTGATTTCCTTCTTTAACAACAATTTATGAACATGGTACCACTAGAGCTGTGGGAACAGGAGGGCAAGATGACCTAGGGGGTGGGCATAGCTTGCTTAGCAGGAGGCTGTGCCATATAAACGTGTGACCACTCACTGCACAGAAGCACAGATCACCGTGAGGCCCACTGGGTGGGACCTCATCCAAAGTAGAGCTAGCCTTGCCCAGGAGCACTGCAGGGAAATCTGTGTTAGAACCTTGAAGTGGAAAGTGCACGGATACAACTTGGGAACCTGACATGGTGAGTCATGTTACCAGCAAAAGCAAACTCAAACAGATCCTTTGGACCACCGCTTCCTGAACCTAAATGGGAGCTGTAGGCTCTGATGCATTAGGTTGAGGGTGGGCTCTAGCCTGCATTGCCGACTGATGCTGATCTCCAGGTGATGCTGAGGCTGCCCTTCTGAGGACCACAGGGTGAGGCATAGCAAGACCTTCATCAGCATGCAGCCAGTGCCCTGGTGGCTGAACACTGCCAGAGGGTGGCTGGAGGTGAGCTCAAGTTACACAGCGGAGGTCTCAGAACGGAACTCAAAGTCCTCTGGAGAGATGTTCCACATCAGTCTGGATAAAGGGGCTCTGTTGGAATGTAGGGGTGCACAGAGCGGCCAGAAGCCTTGGCTTGGAGAATTCTAGAAATCAGGACCTTTCGGGAGAAACCCGTGTTAAGCTGGTGATGATTCCTAAGCTGGGCCTAGGAGTATAGGTGAATGGCCAGTGAGCCAGTCCTTAACACCAAGGGAAGACTGTTAACCAACATCCTGTGAAGAGAGGCATCCAGAGGGGCAGTTACTGCCATTGTTGTTCACTATTACTGAAATAAAAGTTAAAAGGGAATTGGAGATTTTCTTAGCATCTATCTCACCATTAGAAGGGAGAGAGGGAGGGAGGGAGGGGCGGAGGAAGGGGGGAGGAGGGGGAGGGGGAGGGAGGTAGCACCATTAATCTAGGATGTTCCTGCCTCATGATCTGTGATGTGTCTGCTCTGTGCATTTTTTTTTTTAAAGCGACACTTGTCCTATTTTTCACTTTCTGTTCCGTTGCGTTTAGGGTAGTTTATTAGTCCTTACTTTCCAAACTTTTCCAATGAAAGTTACACAGAGGACTGTGTGGAAGGAAAGGTGGAGATCTGAGGTGACAGGCATGCAAGTGTGACTGAAGTCAGAGTGCAGTAATTGTGAGACAGATTTGATGACATGTCTCCCCTACTGTGCTCACACCATGACTTTGGGGATGGCTTAGAGATTTGAACATCTGCAGATTGGTGGATGACTTCTTCTAAGGATGCTTTTACCCTGAAGCAAGGTATGACTCAGCTAGAAAGGACATCCTGATGGCTTCGGTAGAGGAGACCAGATTGGTTTCCTTAGCACGAGGCTTGATGAGTCATT